ATTTGTTAAACATAGGCCCATGGACCACAGTGCTCACCTGAATAACTTGGCAATGCTGTTCTTCATTCCCCCCTTCCATTGCAATACTTATGGTGGCCCAACCTATGCCATGGGATGGTAATTTGGGAAAATTTGAATCTACATTAACAGATATTTCCAAAGAAGTTTCAGCTTTCCGAGACCAGTGGTTGTGAAGATTTAAAAAGATTTTTCTATATTTCAATGTGAAAATTGTATTTCCTATTGTGGCCCCGCCCTACCCCAAGGGATCATGATTTGAACAATTTAATATCTAAATTACCCCAGGATGCTTCCACATACAATAAAGATTTTCTGGCCCAGTGGTACTTGAAAAACTAGAAAACTGACCAGTCATCAAGGGCCCTGCCATGGGGTAGAATTAAAAGGGTGCAGCTTACAGAATGATTAATAAATGTACGAAGAATAAGCAACAGCAACTGTATTCTTAAAATTTCAAGATAATTCCTGAATATTCAAAAACCTGAAAATAATATCCTTGTATTTACATTAGGCAGTAAAGAAAAACTTAACATTGAATGTATATTTAAACAATTATGAAGCTTGTGTTATATAAAATGCCAGCCTTCAATGAATGCAAATATCATGAAGGCTTGACCTTAACTTCAAACAAACAGCAGTTGCAGACAAAGGTTTTCATTAACCTTAAAGTGACAGATAAAGAAAAGCCTACTAAATTTTCTGCAGCAGGCTAGATAATTAATCCCAAGGGATTAATTGTACCTCTCTCATCATTTTCTTCTAAATTTACAATAAGAACTTTTTCAGTATTAATGATAGAATGGGGTTTTTATACAACTACATTAAAAATTAATGATATTCTTGAATTAATATATTAAAAAAAGTGAAGAAAGTGAAAAAAAGTAAATCAAAAAATCTTCTTTAATCTATTTCTTTTTTTTAGAATTCAATGAAATCATAACTATCAAACAAAAATAAATAATAAAAATTTATATTTATATCCACATTTCAGAGTGTTCATAGCATTCCAAATTGATTTAACTTCAAAACAAACTTCATTTGCAGACAGAGATGGTAATTAATCTCAATGTGACAGATAAAGATAATGCTCTGGATTTTCTTCAGGAGGAAAGCTAATTAATCCCAAGGGACTCCTAGCAGCATTCACTTTACAAGGGGAACATCTTCAGCAGTTATCTCTCTTTGCCAATGCATTCTTATATAAAGTTAAGGAATCTACCCCACCACCCCAGCTCCAAACCATGGGACATAGAGAACCAAACTTAGCATCAAAATATGTATTTCTGCCTACTGAACTACCGTACCAAATTTGTACTTGATTGGGCAACCATAAAAAAAGTTGCCCGTTCATTCTTATGCATAGTAAAGGAATCTACCCCACCACCCCAGCTCCAAACCAAAAGACATAGAGAACCAAACTTAGCATCAAAATATGTCTTTCTGCCTACTGAACTACCATACCAAATTTGAACTTGATTGGGCAACCATAAAAAAAGTTATTAGAAAAAAACAGAAAATTTGTGGACGGAAGAGTGACAGACGGACAGACAGACAGCTAGACAGACGGACGGACAGAGTGATTACTATAGGGCACCCGCAAATCCTTGCGGGGCCCTAACTAGAAATATGTCCATAGGACATGAATGCCCCGCTGAGGATATATTAGTAAAGCAACATAAAAATTTGTATGTGTATAAAATTTGATTAGAATATCTTGAATAGTGATGCAGCTGAATTGCTTGTTTGGAAAATATAGGTCAGATCCAGCATTCGAAGCAAGTCTGGTAGTGTCCATCCCTAGATACATCATCCATGCAAGTTTGGTTCAGGTAGGACTTGTAGTTACTTGGGAATGAAAATATAGGTCAGATCCAGCATCCGAAGCAAGTCTGGTAGTGTCCATCCCTAAATGCATCATCCAAGCAAGTTTGGTTCAGGTAGGACTTATAGTTACTTGGGAATGAAAATATAGGTCAGATCCAGCATCCAAACCAAGTCTGGTAGTGTCAATCCCTAGATGCATCATCCATCCAAGTTTGGTTCAGGAAGGGCTTATAGTTACTAGGGAATGAAATTGTAGGTCAGATCCAGCATCCGAAGTAAGTCTGGTAGTGTCCATCTCTAGAGTCTAGATGCATCATCCATGCAAGTTTGGTCCAAGTAGGGCTAATAGTTCCTTAGGAATGGACCTGCTTCAAAAACTATCATCCATGCAAGTTTGTATCAACATGTGAAGTTTAATAATGTAACAGGAAAGGAGAAAATGCATGGCTGGACCGGGAATCGAACCCGGGACCCCTGTATCTCTAGTCAGGTGCTCTACCAACTGAGCTATCCAGGCCAATATCCACGGCCCTAACCATTACATTCCTCCCTCCTTAAATGGTCTTCGCCCTCGAAGACACAACCCAAGTTCTTATTGCCCCTGGCAGGACTTTCACCTGCAATTCCAGGGGTGGTCAACGGCACCAAATCTTTAACAGGAAAGGAGAAAATGTATGGCTGGACCGGGAATCGAACCCAGGACCCCTGTATCTCTAGTCAGGTGCTCTACCAACTGAGCTATCCAGGCCGATATCCACGGCCCTAACCATTACAATAACACCATCTTGAATGGTATGTTTAAAACTGAGCTAAACACTCATTTAAGAAAAGTGAGACCATGGTTAAAGGAAAGGTCAAGGTCAAAAACTGTTGATGCAGTTGCATAGCTCTCATCAATATCTATCAACATATGAAGTTTGATGAAAATATCTTGGATAGTTTCTTTGAAACTTAGCTTTGAACAGAGCTAAATGCAAAGTGTGATGAAAGGATGGAAGACAGACATGACAAACACTATATGCCCCGGCCATATTCATGGCGGGGCATAATAAAAAGATTTGTAATGACCCAATCCTATTTTCATCTCCACTTTCCAGACATAAACCTTAATTTTTTTCTGCTTCACAATAAAATGGACTGAGACCAAATAGTTTTGACAGTACATGTATTTTAAACCATATTCTTAGCATTATTATGAATTGCATTCATTGACTTGATCAAACCATAAAATAAAAGGCTGAGATAATAATTAACCTTCAGATTTACCTGACTTGTGCATCCCTGTCAATCAAGGGAATCAAAATTTATCATTGGGTGCTAAAAATTGATGGACATTTAGTAATTTAGTTAATGAACATTATTACATGCTGTATATACATATTCTACATACACTGCATACATGTAATGTGTTTCTGTTCCATGCTCAGTATAGATGAGAAAGAACACATATCTCGGTGACGAAGTGTCCAATTCCTTATGGTTACAATGTCCACTCACTTACCAAAAAATCAAAATCTTCTTCCCTTCTCAGTGTAACAGAGACATGTAACTGCCTCTGCTAGGGATTGAACCCAAGGCCTCTAGCATACCATTCCAGTACCCTACTGATTGAGCTAAAGGGCTAATCCGCTAACCCAAGCTAGTAAGCTGACATATATCTGACACTACTACATTGTCCCCCTCCAGAGAATGAGATGTCCTCATCTCTTTTGGCTTGCTGACACCTTTGGGGGTAAGTAACAGCAATCACTCTCACTCGCCAGAAAACACCTGGGTCCAAACCTAGGCACTCAATGCAGCAGAACCATGTATCTAACACTACTACATACTAGTAAGCAAAACTAAACTTTGATGATATGGATATTCATGTACTGCAGGTTGAATCTATTGTTAAAAAGAGGCCCATGGACCACATCGCTCACCTAAGCACTGTTGCTAGGAAAAAGTAGATATTGGTTTATTATTGAAAAGTTTAAATCCAAAAGTAGTCCCATGACTGATCATGGCTTTGCTCAGCTATTCTTGAGAAGAAGATTTTTAATAAGAAGTTTCTTATATATGTCTCTGTAAAACTTTGAGTGGCCATTTTGGCCCCGCCCTACCCCATGGTTCATGATTTGAACAAACTTGATCTACACTACCTGAGGATGCTTCCATATAAATATGATCAATTCTGACTTAATGTTATTCCTTAGAAGAAGATTTTTATAGAATATTCCTATATATTTCTATGTAAAACTTTGGTTGGCCATTGTGGCCCCGCCCTACCCCCGGGGGTCATGATTTGAATAAAATTGAATCTACACTACCTGAGGATGCTTCCACATAAATATGATTAATTCTGGCTTGGCTATTCTTGAGAAGAAGATTTTTAAAGAATTTTCCTATATATTTCTATGTAAAACTTTGGTCGGCCATTGTGGCCCCGCCCTACCCCCGGGGGTCATGATTTGAACAAACTAAAATCTACAATACCTGAGAATGGTTCCATATAATTATGATCAATTCTGGCTTGGCTATTCTTGAGAAGAAGATTTTTAAAGAATTTTCCTATATATTTCTATGTAAAAATTTGGTCAGCCATTGTGGCCCCGCCCTACCCCCGGGAGTCATGATTTGAAGAAACTTGAATCCACACTACCTGAGGATGTTTCCCCATAAGTTTGAAAGATGCCATTTTCACTTTTTTAAAAATTATTTCCCCTTTGAAGAGGGTGCAGCCTTTCATTTACAAAACTTGAATCCCATTCACCCTAAAGTGCGTTGTGGCAAGTTTGGTTGAAATTTGCCCAGTGGTTCTTGAGAAGAAATTGATAATTTGAAAAGTTTACAGACAGGTGGACAGATGGAAGCTGGACAAAATATGATCAGAAAAGCTTACTTGCAGCTTTGGCTCAGGTGAGCTAATTAGGAAGCCCTTAGACCAAGGATACTAGAGTGAAAATTTTGACACTTGAGTGATGGCCCATATTCTACACAATAAACATTGCACAAATGGCCATACCACTAACTCTCAGAGCCATTGGCTCAGAAAAGCTGACCTCTTGAACTTCAGTTATGATCCAAAAAGTATTCTCAATTTATTCATACAAGTACATGTATCATTGTGCCCATACATCATACATGATTAAAAATTTTAACAAGCAAACACAGCACCCATTTTCAAAAAATAATGTATTTTATACTTTAAAATAAAAGGTTGAAACTAAATAAATATATCTGTCTTGTCCTTGAGCAATTCTTTAAATACTACAGTTATACTGCCATAGATTTGAAACATATGTTAGTTTTTAGTAATGCCTCTGAACACAGCTGATAGGTGGAATGACTATTTTTATGAAGAATTTTCCTCAGCTCCTTTTAGTACCAATATCTGAATTATCACACTAAATAAATGCTACATGTAAATGCCGTCATCAAACTCCACTTTTCTCTTTGAGTGCATACAGAACATCATCCTGACTAACGTTTAGCCTCACTCTCATCTGAAGGTCGTTACGTCCATGTTCCACCAACAGAAGACGGACACTCCCTAACCGTGCACATATCCTGGCCAGTTCTGTGGTTGATGGAGGCTTAAGCCCTATATTCAACATATTAAACAATTCATTTTTTATGTAACTCAACGAACCTGCAATATTCAGTAACAGAGCGAATTTCATAGAAAGCCATATTTACCATCAATCCTACACAATGCTGCATGCTGGGTATATATTCTACAGAACTCGGCTTCCTCCAGTCCACACCTTTGGAATTCTGCCACCACGGCTCGCAGAAATATCTTTTCCTGGTCTGATGCTGTCCTGTGTAAAATGGAGAATTCTATGAAATCAAATCATGCTTCTAATGGAAAACAAGAGGCCCACGGGCCACAGCGCTCACCTGAGCACATCAGGCTTGAATTTACTCCCCCCCCCCCTTCCAGGCGTTCATCATTTGAACAAACTAGAATCTACACTACCTGAGGATGATTCCATATAAATACCCCGGGTATCACTAATCATAGCTTTGAAGTACTTGAAAAGAAGATTTTAAAAGGTTTCCCTATATATCCCTATGTAAAACTTGGGTCGGCCATTTTGGTCCAACCCTATCCCCAGGGCCGGGAGTCATGATTTGAAAAACTTGAATCTACACTACCTGAGGATGATTCCACATGAGTTTCATCTTTCCTGACCCAGTGGTAATTGAGAAGGATTTTTAAAGATATTTCCTATATATTCCTATGTAAAACTTGGGTCAGCCATTTTGGCCCCATCCTTGCCCCGGGGGTCATGATTTGAACAAACTTGAATCTACACTACCTAAGGATGATTCCACATGAGTTTCATCTTTCCTGGCCCAGTGGTTCTGGAGAAGATTTTTCCTATATATTCCTATGTAAAACTTGGGTCAGCCATTTTGGCCCCATCCTTGCCCCGGGGGTCATGATTTGAACAAACTTGAATCTACACTACCTGAGAATGATTCCACATGAATTTCATCTTTCCTGGCCCAGTGGTTCTGGAGAAGAAGATTTTTAAAGATTTTTCCTATATATTCCTATGTAAAACTTGGGTCGGCCATTTTGGCCCCACCCTTGCCCCGGGGGTCATGATTTGAACAAATTTGAATCTACACTGCCTGAGGATGATTCCACATGAGTTTCATCTTTCCTGGCCCAGCGGTTCTGGAGAAGAAGATTTTTTAAAAATGCCATTAATTTTTAACAAATTCATGATTATCTCCCCTTGGAAAAGGGCGTGGCCCTTCATTTGAACAAACTTGAATCCCCTTCACCCAAGGATACTTTGAGCCAAGTTTGGTTGAAATTGGCCCAGAGGTACTTGAGAAGAAGATGAAAATGTGAAAAGTTTACAACAACGACAACGACTACGAGGACGACGACAACGACAGACAACGGACAAATTTTGATCAGAAAAGCTCACTTGAGCCTTCGGCTCAGGTGAGCTAATAATACAAGTTTTCTTTTTTTTTCAAACAAAATGTAAACACACTACTAAAAAGATTTTAAACATAGGTAATCAGAGATTACAGAGCTCACCTCAACGAATGTTGTCTTTAAGTAAGGCAAAGTCACACATTTAACCAACAAAAAGTGTACATCCCAAAATTAAAATATTTATGCAAATTTGATCTTATATAGGAATAGACCTATATAAAAACTTCAAACTAATTCTTTTTCATGAAAATGTAATTAAAATCCAGAATCTGAAGCAAATTTGAGAGTTTTCATCCCTTGATGCATCATTTGTGCAAGTTTGGTTTATACAATGTTATATAAACCTTATAGTTTTTTGGTAATAGACCTGCACCCATAACTTTTACCTGGTCCATTATCTGAAAAATGTATGTCCAATTCCGCATCCGAAGCAACTGCAATAGTGTGCATCCTAAGATGTATCGTCCATGCAAGTTTGCTCATTATAGGGCTCATAGTTACTTGGAAATGAAATCTGCATCAAAAACTAACCTTTCAACTCATCCACAAAATGTAGGTCAGATTCAGCATCCGAAGCAAGCCTGGTAGTATGCATCCTAAGATGTATCATCCATGCAAGTTAAGTCATTATAGGGCTCATAGTAACTTAGAAATAAAACCTGCATCAAAAACTTTAACCTGTTTACTCAACTGGAAAATGAAGGTCAGATTCAGCATCTGAAGCAAGCCTTTTAGTATGCATCCTTAGATGTATCATCCATGCAAATTTGGTCATTATAGGGATCATAGTATCTTGGAAATGAAACCTGCACAAAAAACTTTAACATGTTCACTCAACCATAAAATGTAGGTCAGATTCAGCATCCGAAGCAAGTCTGGTAGTATGCATCCTTAGATGTATCATCCATGCAAGTTTGGTCATTATAGTGCTCACAGTTACTTGGAAATGAAACCTGCACAAAAAACTTTAACATGTTCACTCAACCATAAAATGTAGGTCAGATTCAGCATCTGAAGCAAGCCTGGTAGTATGCATCCTAAGATGTATCATCCATGCAAGTTAAGTCATTATAGGGTTCGTAGTAACTTAGAAATAAAACCTGCATCAAAAAACTTGAACCTGTTCACTCAAACGAAAAATGTAGGTCAGATTCAGCATCCGAAGCAAGCCCGTTAGTGTACATCCTTAGATGTATCATCCATGCAAGTTTGGTCAACATAGGGCTTATAGTTCCTTGGAAATGAATCATACACCAAAAACTGCACCAAAAATGTTAACCTGCTCCAAAAACATTAACCTGGTATTCCTTTGATGAAATTGCATTATCTGAAACTTTGACTGTTACAATGAAACACATTCGAAGCATCTTGCATGTCTAATCAATATAGGACATAGAAGTACTTAAAAAGAAAACTGCTCCAAAAAACTTAACCTGGGACGCTGACGCCGAGGGTATTACATAAGCTCCCCCAACTTCGTTGAGGTGAGCTAAAAATTCAGTTATTTTAAAAAGCCATTTTCTGATAACTCCAAGCCAAATAAGACACTCGTGGGTGCATAAAAATACTTAAAGCCAAACATTGAAGACTCTACCTCATGGCTACAACTTTTGGAGAAGAAAACATTTCTTGCAGGGCTGCATTCACATGCGTCATTCCGACCAGAGATAGTTTGGTCTTGGACGGGGACAGACTCTCTGTGATTTCTGTAGCTCTGCGACAAATGTCCAGGGCTCGCCTGGCATCCCCCGACACTGCTGCCACTTTTCTGGCCGCCAACTGAATGGCATCCTCCTCAAAGGCCTTCAGTCCCTTCATTCTAGAGATCACTATCTCCTGGAGCTGTTTGAAGGTGTACGGCTGGAATGTCATTCTTGTTAGCCCCTAGATAATTAAAAAAATTAAATAGCTCGATTAAAACTGGTTTTCAAAATTAATTATAGTCTGCTTCACAATAACAAGAGGCCCATGGGCCACATCGCTCACCGGAGCACTTTTGCCAAGAAAAAAGAAGGAATTAGTTTATTATTGAAAAGTTTAAATCCAGAGGTAGTCCCATGACTAATCATGGCTTTGCTATTCTTGAGAAGAAGATTTTTAAAGAATGTTCCTATATATGTCTATGTAAAACTTTGATTGGTCATTGTGGCTCCGCCCTACACCCAGGGGTCATGATTTGAACAAACTTGAATCTACACTACCTGAGGATGCTTCCATATAAATATGATCAATTATGGCTTTGCTATTATTGAGAAGAAGATTTTTAAAGAATTTTCCTGTATATTTCTATGTAAAACTTTGGTCTGCCATTTTGGCCCCGCCCTACCCCCACGGGTCATGGTTTGAATAAACTTGAATCTACACTACCTCAGGATGCTTCCATATAAATATGATCAATTATGGCTTTGTTATTCTTGAGAAGAAGATTTTTAAAGAATTTTCCTATATATTTCTATATAAAACTTTGGTCAGCCATTGTGGCCCCGCCCTACCCCCAGGGGTCATGATTTGAACAAACTTGAATCTACACCTACCTGAGGATGTTTCCATGTAAATATGATCAATCATGGCTTTGTTATTCTTGAGAAGACGATTTTTAAAGAATTTTCCCATATATTTCTATGTAAAAATTTGGTCAGCCATTTTGGCCCCTCCCTACCCCCTGGGGTCATGATTTGGCTCAGGTGAGCTAAAAAAGCATATTTTTCTGTTAATTAAATGTGTGCAAACCTGGTTATGTGATAAGACATTTGAACTATTGAATAAAGATCATTTAAATCAAAATTAAGGTCCATCTCAAAATATTTAAATTTCAGATCAAGCCAAAATTACATGTCTTAAATCATGAAGTCATCTCTCCTTGAACAATTGAATCCATATTTTTTTTTTCTTTAAACCTCAAAAATTTGATCCCATGCAGGGTTTGACATTAAGGTTTTAGAATACTAGACCAGTCGGGCTACTCTGGCAAATTTTCACTAGCCCTGACCCTTTCACCAGTAGCCCTGACCAAACTTGAGAAAAAAATATTTAAAGTACAAAACAGTGATAATTTATGAATAACCTTTTTTATAATATGTTTAATTGTAGTGGTTTATCTTTACCAATGTAAGACATATTTTAACTAGAAAACTGACCAGTCAGCAAGGGCCCCGCCATGGGGTAGAATTAATAGGGTGCAGCTTACGGAATGATTAAAAAATGTACGAAGAATAAGCAACAGCAACAGCAATTGTATTCTTAAAATTTCAAGATAATTCCTGAATATTCAAAAACCTGAAAATAATATCCTTGTACTTACATTAGGCAGTAAAGAACAACTTAATGTATATTTAAACAATTATTAAGAATTTGTGTTATATAAAATACCAGCCTTGAATGAATGCAAATATCATGAAGGCTTGACCTTAACTTCAAACAAACAGCAGTTGCAGACAAAGGTTTTCATTAATCTTAAAGTGACAGAATAAAGAAAAGCCTACTAAATTTTCTGCAGCTGGCTAGATAATTAATCCCAAGGGATTAATTGTACCTCTCTCATCATTTTCTTCTAAAGTACAATAAGAACTTTTTCAGTATTAATGATAGAATGGGGTTTTTATACAGCTATTCTAAAAATTAATAATATGCTTGAATTAACATAAAGTGAAAAAAGTAAATCAAAAAATGGTTCAAAAAATCTTCTTTAATCTATTTCTTGTTATTAGACTTCAATGAAATCATAACTATTTAACAAATATAAATTATAAAAAATTATAATATTTAAATCCACATTTCAGAGTGTTCATAGCATTCCAAATTGACTTAACTTCAAAACAAACTTCATTTGCAGACAGAGGTGGTGATTCATCTCAATTTGACAGATAAAGATAATGCTCTGGATTTTCTTCAGGAGGAAAGCTAATTAATCCCAAGGGACTCATAGCAGCATTCAGTTTTACAATAGGAACATCTTCAGCAGTTATCTCTCTTTGCCAATGCTTTTGTATATAAAGTTAAGGAATCTACCCCACCACCCCAGCTCCAAACCAGGGGACATAGAGAACCAAACTTAGCATCAAAATATGTATTTCTGCCTACTGAACTATCATACCAAATTTGTACTTGATAGGGCAGCCATAAAAAAAGTTGCCCATTCATTCTTATGCATAGTTAAGGAATCTACCCAACCACCCCAGCTCCAAACCAGAAGACATAGAGAACCAAACTTAGCATCAAAATATGTATTTCTGCCTACTGAACTACCATACCAAATTTGAACTTGATTGGGCAACCATAAAAAAAGTTATTAGAAAAAAACAGAAAATTTGTGGACGGAAGAGTGACAGACGGACAGACAGACAGACAGACGGACGGACAGAGTGATTACTATAGGGCACCCGCAAATCCTTGCGGGGCCCTAATAAAGAAATTTTACCGCACACGTCAACATCGAAACTAGGTCATACACATGCTTCTTTTTGTGCTTAGTCCTAGTCCTAACTTAACTTGATCAACTTGAAGTTGTATGTTACATATGTAGTTTTCTTTTTACTATGCGGTTAAAAACGTTCTGATTTTATTTTTCATTAACAATAAATTTGTTTAAAATTAAAGTTTATTTGTTTTTCTAATATGTCCAGTCGGTCTAGTATACAGACTTTTTACCCGACCGGACCCATCTTTTACTAGACTCGGTCTGTCGGACGTGCCTTAATGTCAAACCCTGTCATGACAACAAGTGATTTTACAGTACATGTTCATCCTTTATTTCATCTGACTAGATTCAGTAATTAAAACCAGTAAATTAATGGCTTACTAATCTACTTGAGACTCTTTTCATCATTATACGTTCTGGTAAATCCATAGTGTTAGCAACAGCTAAAACTACCAGGCGAGCATGACGGTGTGAAGGCCAATCGAAGATATTATACATCACATCCTGTTTCCTCGTCCACAAAAGGTCTAGCTAAAAGGCACAAAAAATCTCTTATTTAACAAAATCAAAGACTAACTACCAATTATGCTTGCCTTGTAACTGTATACTTAAGGAATCACTGTCTAGTTAGTATAGTATGCCAGGGCATCAACAATAGTGGGAAACATGGGATAATTTGCATAACGGGCGAAGCTGTTATGCATAAATTATCCCATGTTTCTCACTATTGTTGATGTCCCTGGCATACTATACTAACTAGACAATGATTCTTTATATTTCCATTTCATTGTAAAATAAAATTGTACATTTAGATTTTAAAAATGTAGACATAGATTTAAATAACACGAGGGCTCCCATGCCAATTTCAATAGTCCTCTGCCACTGACTCAAAAACAAAGGCAGCTGCAATAGATTTACATGCATATTTGGCCTCCTTAGCATCAGACACAGAGACAGATGCGCACAAGATTTGCATGCATATTAGGCCTTCCTAGCTCCTGACCTATCGACCTGCCTAATTTACATTCCGGTAGAATTATCCAGAAATCGACTCCGCTAACTTTCAAACAGTTATCACAGAGAGAGAAACTAGAAATGGAAATATATCATCTTATTCTCCTTATAAAGATAAAGTTTCCAAGTTATAATGTTTCATTTAGAAGACTTCATTGTAAGTCAACATGCTTTATCTCACCTCATCAGCCAACATGACAATAGTTTCTTTACGAGGTCCTGGTGTGGTGAATTTCTTATTCAGTAAATCAGCAGCATGGTCAGGGGTAGCTTTCTGATTGGTCAGTTGCTTTAATATACAAAATAATAACATGTTAAATGCATTTTTCTTATATACAGGGAATTTCCATACAGAGAATGTAATTGCATTCTAAAGATCACAACTTTTTTTCCCAACAGAAATGTGAAGTAGTCTCACACTAACCTGTAAGATTTGTACATAAGCCTGACGGGGTTCTGTTAATTTCATTCCATTGACGTCTATATACTTGAAGCCCGGTAGTTCCTCCTGTTCTGTCGCCTGATGGAGGGCCCGCACCACTTCATGTACCGTGGCAGTCTTACCTGTTCCAGGGACTCCAGATATGTACATACACCTGCACACAAAAAATTAATGTTCATTATCAAAATCACAATACCTTGTATATGGAAGAGGTCCATGGGCATTGATGGTCACCTGTTTATCATGAGTTTTTTATTAAGCCATAACCAACTCTGCTAAAACTGGAATTCTAAACTCGTGAAGTGAATTTTAAATCTTTCTGAGGACTTTTAAAGACCTGCCAAAAACCTACGTGTAGGTTTTTAAAAATAAAAATAGAAGACATTTGAAGTGAATAGAAAACCTTGCTCCATTTTTGACCTTGAGCTGTGCTCATGGACATAAATTACTACTAAATCTAGTAAAGAAGAGCACTTGGCCTACTGCCATTATGCACACACGATGCTTGATTAAAATCAGAAATAAATTTATGTTTTGTAATGGAACTATAATGAACTTTTTACATGACCAACATAGTTTCAGCCTAAAGGACTAAACTTGTATAATAGACACTCATAAAAATTATGCAAGATGACACCCCTTCAAAGATTTTCCATGCAGCAATTAAATTTTAATACCAACTTATCCCATACCTGTCTGGGCCTAAACCCTGGACAAGGTGCCATAAATTTGCAAATTCTTGAAGGCTTAGTATTTATAGGTTGAAGTTTCCATGTGAGTACTCACCCTCCAGTTCCATCTAAGATTTTACTCTCCACAAAGTTATAAATATCCTGAAACTCTGTCTCTCTACATGGAAGAGAATCTGGAACTGCTGATACATGTAACCTAAAAGGAAAAAAAAGGGTTTACTAAAACTGATCCACAAGTGAAATAAATTCTGATGAATTCATAATACCGATTAATACTGCATTATTAAACCAGAAGTCTCTGTCAAGACTGTAGCTCTACTGGTTTGTACTTATAGCAAGGAATGAGAAGGAAGCCATTGCCATCAGACCAAAACTGTAGGAGGAGTAGCGTAATACAAGGAATTTTACAGAAATTTCTATTTTTAGTAACCATGGCATCACCGTTCATCAAAATCAAAAACCGATGCACTAAATCATGTATCTTAGTGTAGTCTACTTGTTTGCCAAGTTATAGTAAAATCAGACTAAAACTGTAGGAGTCGCATTTTACCGGAATTTCACAGATATTTCTATTTTTAGTAACCATGGCATCACCGTTCTTCGAAATCAAAAACCGATGCACTAAATTTTGTATCTTAGTGTAGTCTACTTGTGTGCCAGGCTATACTGAAATCAGACTAAAAACAGTAGGAGGAGTAGCGTTTTAAAGGATATTTTCAGTAACCATGGCAACACTGTTCATTGAAATCAAAACCTGATGCACTAAATTATGTATCTTAGTGTAGTCTACTTATGTGCCAAGTTATATTGAAATCAGACCAAAACTGTAGGAGGAGTGGCATTTTAAAAAATTGTTTACAGACAGAGGGACAGCTAGACAGACGGACAGACAGCTAGACGGACAGATGACCGACACCTTACTGTCGCATAAGCTCCTCTGGTCTCTGACCAGTAGAGCTAAATATAAATTTAATTGCTTTAATTGTGAGAATGAGAATTAATAGTGCAGTTACTGCCAAAAAAAAAAAATACATAACACATGTAAGCAGGTTGTTAATGCATAAACACTGCTTCAAGAACTTGCCCATTGATCTATACAAATAAAAGTTTAAAATGTACAACTATCTGAAAGTAAACTTTGAAAGTAGATTAATGACCTAACTACACACTGTATGCATTCTCAGAAGAATCAGCTGCATGAACCTCATTATTACCTGGATCTTGCCTCTTCTAGAACATTGGAGGGGGACATTAACGGTTCACATCTCTCAGGGATCTTTGGAGTAGCACAACTACTGCCTTTCTGTTCAACACAAAGTCAACACCTCATATTTGGGATAAAAATTATACTTCTTGGCATAATTATATTGGTAAAGTAACTTTTTCCTAGCAGACATTATATACAAATTTTTAAGGACATGTTGCTAAATTTGCCTCAAACTAAAAATTTCACTGACGGTATACATAATCTTGTTTTTTTACCCTTTGTTTTTTGGCCCTGGGTGTGGTTGTCCTGGTGGGGGTGTTGGTCCTGCTTGTTCTGGAAGTTTTCTTTCTTGTCGGGCCACTAAAGTCGGACAGATCACTATCTGTGTCACTGTCTGACGGCAGGAAGACCTCGTTTTTACCTACAGGTGAAAAGTCTGCATTCTCGTCGTAAGAAATAGCCCTGAAATAAACAAGATATGCTTGTGAAACACTTATATTTCATAGATATATTAAATGATTTAAATTAATCTAAGGAAGCACTTTTATTGTATATACATGTACTATACATTAAACTGAAACTTTTATTTGGTCTCTTACTTGCTTCTTTTTCTCAGATTTCGAGAAGCTGGTGTTTCTGGTCGTGAGGAATCAAACTGTTGAGTCAGCCTTTTTCTGGCCGGCCTGTCCGTGCTCTCCGGGGTCTTGTTCCTGTGGGACTGGTACATGTTATCTGAGATCCTCTTAATTACCACCTTCTGAACTTTCTTCTGAGCCTTAGTGGCAGACTTTGGTTGGGATTTAGTGTCATGTGCCGAGAAAGAAACTCTTCGGTTCAGGTGTCGAGGTTCTGTCCGGCTTAAATGAGCCAGTTCCGGTTTCTTCTGGGGGGTGAGTATCGATTTTAAGGGCATGGATTTATTGCTCGGAACACTGGAGACATCAGAGGATGTGGTTGATATTAGAGATATGGCATCACTGTCATCATCCATTAACATAGAGGCTACATCCTGTGCTTCTATTCTCCGTCCCAAAAACTGACCAGTCGACTTTCTTCTATCTATAAAAACATGCATTTTTGAAAAAGATGCAAAAATCTAGGCTCATATCTTTTACCTTAATCTCATTTTGAATGACACTTAAAAGACATGTTTTACCAGATCTAGTAAGAGCAATGATTTCAAGAGTGTCTAACCTGGCAGCTTCTTCACTTTTGGCACCAAAGAGGTCAGAACATCCGAGTCCACCTTGTTGTCATTACTGACTGGAATGACATTCAACATACTACTTCTTTCCTGTAGTTGCCGAGCTGGAAGCCCTCCAAAAGATCTCCTTGTTTTGGGTCTCACATCTTCATTTTCTTTGTACTCCTTTGAGTTTTTCTGTGTTAGCTCTTTTCTTGGAGTTTTGTTTTTGACATCTTCCAGTTCTTGAAATTTTGTCCCATCAAATGTCTTATTAAACACATAAGTTTTTAACATATTTTTGGACTGCTTTTCTTCTAAATCACCCTGAAGTACCTTTCAAAAGGATAAAGTCCACAGAATTAGATAATTTTAGTGACAAAATCTACATTTTTATATCACTTAGATTGGCCCATTAAATGTTTAAGCATGTACTTGCAAACAAAGGACAGATAAAACCATTGACTTTTAATACAGTTCCAAAGTTTAATGGTTCAAAAAACTTACTTTGCACTTGCATAAAACAGTTTCAGGGTCTATTTCTCTTTGAACATTTCTGCTGACATTTAGGAATACTTCATTGGACTGTATTCTGCCATATTTCTTTTTACACCTTTTTAACATGGATTCTGTCATCTCGTCTTGTGTCCAATACCACTGTACCTCTGCAACATTCTGTTCACCTAAAATGGTACAGTGAAAAGAAAAAATTAAAATGTTCCGACAGGGAAAAAAATTAATTGGCCATTTACTGCAACAAAAGTTCCATAAAACCTTGTTTCTTCAACTTACATCAATGTATATTCAACTTACCACTATACGATAAACGACTTTTCAAACATGTATACTCTAAATGACTTTTTATTTGCGAGAACTTCATTTTTGCGTAATTACGCGAAAAAGTGTGCTCGCGAAAATTTAATCCTTGCATATAATAGCATTCCTAAAGATTATATAGAGCACTAACCACAATTCGTGAAAATTTTGTCTCACTAATCAAGAGACAATGACTATCTTGCTAAAATAAGGTGTCGCGAAAATTTAGTGATCTACAGTATCTTTTGATTTGATTTGAACATATTTTATCATGTAACAATTACAAATACAAATATTTTATTGGCACAAACACAATTACAGTAATTGGTAAAGGCCCAATTACATAAACAGATTGGGCAGCAGGCATAGCCTATATAAGCCCTCTCCACCAATACCTTTTACTTGATCATTGAATTAGACTCAGGTGTTTCTAACATTTTGTTTGAAATGCTATTGTTATATTATAAGCGATTACCATCAGAATACAGGTCTTCAAGTTTGGCAACATATGCTGATTCTAAAGGATCTTCTTGGAAGTCATCATTGCTGCTAGCAATCAGTACAAAGTCTCCAATGCTGTATTGTTTCTGATTCAACTGAAATTGTCTGAAAATAAAATTTTCCTTCTATTAGTAATGGATCACTTTCAAAGTTAACACTCTGATCTGAGTCCTTCTGATATAAATTGACATTTGAGTTATTAATAGCCATTCTCTGTAACCACTTAAACTTTGTTGCCACGCATGGTCACCGATTTTGATGAAACTTTACCCATGCTTAGTACTTGACACCAGAAATAAATATCAAACAAAATTTCGTTGCTATGTGTCTCGGTTGCTATGGCAACAGCCGGAAAAGTTTGAAAAATCGAGATTTTCAGCCACTTTAAATCTTGATTGTGGCTTAATAAAAAGTAGAAAAAGCAAACAAACCATTCTCACAAAAACATGACACCTTGATGTCACTTATACTGTAAAGAAACTGTTTAGAATATATCTCTAAGTAAGTGGTAACCAAGGGTACATTTGGAATACATTTAAAATGCTGAAATATGCTGAAAACACTCTGTATTCACTAATGGTAGGTGTTACATGCTCAAACTCAATCAACGACTTAAGAAAAACAATGAAAATGTTTGACCTTAAGTATATATAAGTATAAGCAATATTATTCTAAAAATAACTTTTATGGTTGCCATGGTAACACAGTGTCACCATGCAAAACCAGTAACTAAGATTGGGTTAATGCTACTGTCTTGAGGAAAAACATGAAAATTCAAGACTGGCAAATATGCATCCTTAGGACCTTGCAACACCAAAACCATAAGAAAAATTGGGTATAATTGCTACTTTGCAGTGTTACCATGGAAACAAAGTACCAGTGCTTAAAAGGGAATTATTTTTCGCTGCATTAAGAATTAAATTGCCATTTAATCAAGAAACAAATTAAAGGACTCAGCTTGAATAGTATTTATCTGTTAGAACTGAAGTTGAATATCATATATTGAGAAAATTTGATGAATAAAACAACACTGTTGCTATGGTTACCAAGAAGTGAAAATGTTCGAATTTGTGAACTTTATATCAATATTAAACCCTGTGTGCCAACTTCTTGCATCCACTTAGAGATTGGATGATAGTCAAAATTAAAAGTCAAGTTAGCTGTTAATAAATATCAATCATAAAAGTTTTGGGAATCTACATTGAAGGGTACGTATCCAAGGAAAGAAAATATTTTTCAGGTATTTAAGCATATATTTTCTGCTTATTTCCATAGCAACGCTCTATTTAAAGAATCTAATCTGAATTTTTTCAAATGGGAAAACTTGGAGCATACCAACATCTTATAAAATTGATCATTAGTTATGAGAAAATGCGCCTTTTTTAAAAGATAGGATCAGATTTAAACATACACAGTGTTACTTTAAAGGCTCTCTGTGGTATAAAAACCTTGGCAATCATTGCCAACCAAAAAGAAATATCATATTTTTTTCTTGGTATATGTTTCAAGGCTCTTTTTTCTATTATTTGGTCACATTTCATCCTATAATTGCTTTTTATTTTTATGTGTATGACTTTATAAAATTCAATGAATATTTTTTTTTTACTTTTGAATACTTTGTAACCATAGTAACGTATGTAATAGTTGATTTACCAAATATGTTTATCATGCATTTGAGACATCTGACCTTCAACTTTTGGAAACATTAATTGCCAATTGTTTGCTTTGCCGCAAATGTTAACTATGGGGCTTTAAACATGTTAAAAAATGCCATTTCTCGAACTTTAAGACATGTTGCCATGGTAACTATAAAGCATAGCAACCAATTTTTGCCTGATTTCAGTTTAGGGTATCAATGACTTTTATCATAGAGAGTTTGGAGAAATTCTGAGACTAGGCGTGCCACTGCTTCTATATAAAATTTCAAATCATTACAGAGAATGGCTCTTAAAACTTAATTAAGGTCAACAAAGGGACAAAGAACCCCCTCCTGGGAAGGAGTGATCTCAAATTTTCTGTTTTGCGTGTCACACCTTTGTCAAAGACATTTTGTCTAATATCACTTCTCTTTAATATATAAAATTACAAATATAAATTTAAAAAGTTTAAGATACTTATTTTTACAGTATAACAGGTCCAGTCCAAAGACTATTTCTACCTACGTAGCTATTAATAGCTATGTAGGTATTTAAACCTATCCAAAGTAGCTATTTTTACCTACTTTTTGTATTTTCTGCATTTTATGGCCAAACGCATGAAAGGCGCAACATGGTGGGCACATAATTCCTTGATACAGTCAGACTGATGATGGATATGACAAAAATTTGGCCAAAAAATGATTACTTCGTACATTATCAATTTTGCATAGAAAGTAATGTAAAATTGCCGCTTCAGGAAGAAATCATTTTTTGACCAAAATTTTGTTGTATTCATCATCAATGTGACTGTATCAAAATATATGGTATTCACCATGTTGCGCCGTTTGGCCTTTTGGTCACAAAATGCAGATAATATAAAAAGTAGGTAAAAATAGCTACTTTGGGTAGGTATAAATACCTACGTAGCTATTAATAGCTACGTAGGTAGAAATAGTCTTTGGACTGGACCTGTATAAATTAAAGTAAGATTCTTCATAATGTAATGTTTTTGTTTATGTATGTAAATATGCTACAGTTGTTAATAAAATAGGATATTATTTTTGTTTATTTGATAAGCCCTAACCATGGTACCTGATTAGCACCCTTATCTTGGAAGTCTAATTAGTGTCCTAATTATGGTGCTTATCAGATGCCCTAAATGTATCAAGTGTCTTGACACCTAGCAATGGTGCAGAGACCGTAATACTTGGAGCTGATTGCCCTAATAGGAGCCCTAATGATGGAGCCGATTGCCCTAACAGGGTGCCCTAATGATGGAGCCTAACGCCCTAACAGGTGCCCTAACGATGGAGCCTAATGCCCTAACTAGGTGCCCTAAATCACGTTAGGTGTCAGACAGGGTATATAAGGAGAGAGAGTTAGTGAGTTGAAACATATTGCTTGTACTGGATTTTAAACTACGTTTGGATATTATTAATACACTTGTTGAAACAAACTTTGTCGTTGTTCTGATGTTAGATCTATAAAGATCTAAAGTTCCTAGCTTCTACACGGGATCCACAATACTTTGTGACAAGGGTATACACAAACACACCATAGAGAGGAAAACGTCACAATTGGTGGCAGCGGTGGGATTCAAAGAAGTCATTCTACGTGTAACACAGGAACGAGGCAACATAGAGTTTGAAATGGAGACACCCGTCATAAGGAGGAGAATTACGCCTAGAAAGGTAGGACAGTACTTCAACAGTCCAGCTCCTCTGAATGACTCTGGAATAGAGGTCGATGCAGGGTGTAGAACAAGTTTGCACCCCACAAGTCGAGTAATGCCAGACAATCCTAACTTTCAGGAGTTCAGGCAAAATTCGCAGGGTCTTTCTGTTCAAAACGAGTACAATCCAAGGCCAAGCTTTAAGAGAATCATATTTATTTGGGTACTTTTTGCTTTGATAAGATGTTCCCTGATGGTGATGACCTGGATCTATTTTCCAGAAAATGAGATCGTGCGGGAATCTCAAGAAAATGCAGTAATTTCTCTAGTATCGATAACGAGTATGATATTGCTTGTTACGGTAATCAGAGTAATATGGAAGTATGGAGAATTAGGTCTGCCGAATGCCAGTAAGGAAATTTCTTTGATACCTAATGATACACCCTATACTGGTGGTAGTGCACCTAATGCCCTTACAGGTACCAATCAGGAACCTAAAATTTTTGGGCAATCTGGATGCACTACTCCTTATTTGGGTAATCTGTCTCCTCAGGGACTTGGGTACAATTTTGAAATTCCTATGGCTTGCGGGACACCTAGAAACAGTCCTATGACACTAAATGCTGGTCAACGAACCAATGATTATCCAGTGAGAAGAACATTCTCTGGGGTCAACAATGATGTTTGGGATGAGTTTTTGCGGTATTTTGAAAATATTGCAGAACTAAACTCATGGAGACCCGAGAAATCCCGCAGAGTTTTGCTCAGCACCTTGAGAGGACAAGCCGAGAGCTACGCATATGGAACGCCTGTTGCTGTACAGTGTGATTATGAGCAACTAAAGGAGAAAATGAATCAAAGATTTGGACATTCTGCAATGAAAGAAAAATATATTGCGGATGTAAAATTAAGGAGACGACTACCGGATGAGTCCCTGCGAGATTTAGGACAGGCCATCGAAGAAGATTTGTACCGAAGGGCCTATCCAGGAAATCCAGATTTAATTGAAGAAAATGCTATACAGTCCTTCTTAGATAAGTGTGGACAATCTGAGGATTTTTGACTCGCAGTAAAACGGACCAGACCCAGGACACTTCAAGAAGCAGTTTTAAATGCAGTGCAAGAAGAGTGCTTTCGAATTGGGGAAAAAGAACTGCCAAAAGAGACAAAACCAGGCTATAAGCCTGTGTATGAGATTGAAGATGGGGAATTAAATAATGAAATAGCAGCTGCAGATACTGCCAAACCTCCAAGCGCGAGTGACGGATTCAACAGTATCTATAAAAACATGAGAACCGCAAGTACATGTACCAGTACAGGTCCAGGGAGGAGGGGACGCCCTTACAGCCCATGGTACCAGAGAGAAGGAAGAAGACTTCAACAAAGTGACACCTCTCGAGACCATAATTGTGTTGAAAAGAGAACTGTCAGGAATTATTTAAACTAAAGATGACTGATGCCGGAGGCCAGGTGTCAGTCGGTTCTAGACGGCCTAAAAACAAGGGAAGAAAACCCAAAACAGAAGTTGGAAAAGGAAGTGCTTAAAATACGGCGGGAGAAATCTCAAGACCAATAACAGTGTTAACTACATGGACTTTTGATTTAATCTAGAAACATTTTTTTAATTGAAAAAAAATTTCGTTGTATTACCTTTTTGTCTTTTTATTGATTTTGTTTGGGTTTTGTGTATTGGGCATTTTTTTGTTTGTGTGTGAATTTCGAAATTATAAAATTATACATGATCTTTTTCTTATACCGAGGTATTGCCTTTCATGTCAATTATAATTCATGTTCAT